GTGGCACACCTTTAATCCCTGTACTCTGGAGGCAGACACAGAGACAGATGGATCTCTTGTGAATCTGAGGCCAGCCTGGTCTACTCGGCAAGTTCCAGGATAGCCATGGCTACATATAAAAAGCCCCTGTTTCAAAAAACAATGAGTAGTAGTTTCCCACTGTGTAACTCCAGAACAGCAGGACAAGGTAGTGGCATTCAGGAAAATGATCATGGGAGGCACTAGGGTTGCCCAACTACAACACAGACTTGGAACCCAGTGAAACACTGTGGTTATCAGTCACGTCCTTCTCTTCCTACCTTGCAGAATCTGAACACAGACATTCACCAAGCACTTACCATGTGCCTGGCCCTTGGTGGAAGGAGAGGCGTCACAAGTACCGAGTTATAACTACCTCCTGTGCATGCAGGCCTCCAAACGGACATTAGCCTTCCAGAGTAAAAGTTAGCCTGGGAAAACCTCATCAAAAGTATTATGATTCAAGCCGGGCGGTGGTGGCAACGGCGCACGCCTTTAACCCCAGCACTCGGGAGGCAGAGGCAGGCGGCGGATCTCTGAGTTCGAGGCCAGCCTGGTCTCCAGAGCCAGTTCCAGAACATCCTCCAAAGCAATACAGAGAAACCCTGTCTCGAAAAACAAACAAATAAACAAAAGTATTATGATTCATCAGGCATGGTGGCTCACTCAGCACTAGTGAGGCTGAGGCAAGAGGATTCCAAGTTCAAGGGCAGCCTGGGCAACATAGGGAGAATCTGTCTCAAAAATAAACAAAAACATCACAACTCCTAGAGATGTAGTGCATCACTAGAATCCTGATTACTACTGTCCAAAAGGTCACGTCATTCCACTTGATTATTCAATCTAGCCTTTCTAGCCATTTAAAAGATGTCAAGCTTCTCATTAATGGCCTGGATGTATAATCAGTGTTTGAATTGGAGAGGAAATTGGGAAATCGGAACGGCAGTCCTTGATCTCTTTTTTAGTAAAATGGCCTCATGAGAAGTTACCAAATAGCCTTTTTTTTTAATACTTTACACTTTTTATGAGGGTGTGGAGATCTGAGGGCAATCCCAGAAAGTCAGTTCTCTCTTGAGTTCCAGGGATCAAACTCAGGTCATCAGGTTTACTGCTGAGCCATCTTACCAGCCTTCTAGTTAATTTTCAAGTGGTTTAACATCAACATGAGACAAATCTTTTAAAAATGAAACCGTGAAATGAAACACTGGGAACAGTGAGACAGCTCAGTGGGTAAAGATGTAGCTGTGGCCCCCTGAACTCAATCAACAGACCCCTTGTGAATATGAAGGACTCCACAAAGTTGTCCTCTGACCACTACATGCCCGTAGTGTCACTCACCCCCTTACCACACACACACATTATACACATACAATAATAACAAATAAATAAAATTTACAGGGTCCAGTATTTCTTTTTTTTTTTTTTTTTTTTTTTTTTTTTGGTTTTACGAGACAGGGTTTCTCTGTATTGTTTTGGAGGCTGTCGGTCCAGCCTGGCCTCGAACTCACAGAGATCTGCCTGCCTCTGCCTCCCGAGTGCTGGGATTAAAGGCGTGCGCCACCAACACCCGGCTCAGTATTTCATTTCTTGAGAATTAAAATGTCTCAAGTCCATCAGTAAGAAGCAGAGTGGTGGGTTTAGGAGAAGTGTGTTCTGTCTTCCCCACCTCCACGGCCTTTTGAAATTTTCTACCTACAATAGTGATTCTCAACATGTGGGTCACATATCATATATTTACATTACAATTCCTAATAGTGAGTAGCAAAATTACAGTTATGAAGTAGCAACAAAATAATTTTACGGTTGAGGATCATCACCATGAGAGGAACTGTATTGTATTAAAGGGTTGAAGCATTATGACCTACAAAGAGAAACTGTGGGCACAGCAACATGCTACGGAAACTGGTGCCACTGCTCTATCCCCTTCAATAAACCATGCTCTTTGGTCAGGGACACCCAGACTACTTAGCTCCAAATCCCAAAAGCCTGAAATGGGGGCGGGGGCAGCACAGGCAACAAACTGACTAGCAGAGCTACCAACACCACATGTACCAGCAGGGAGCACCAGGGAGCATGCTAACAGGTCTCATCCTGCACAGAAGGGAAAGGGAAGACCCTCTTGCCGCCACTCTGGGGCCCTACAAGTGGGACCGGACTTCCTAATACTGTGGTACACTGGGCACCAGATGCCTTCCTGACTAGTCCAGGCAACCAGCTTTTCTCTTACAGTAACACAATCCCACCCCATACTTGCAGACTTCTATACAACCCACCAATTAATTCATTTCCTCCTACATATGTGGACTTTCCTTGTTTTCCTCTTTTGAGGGGGATATGGTGACTTGGATTTTCTTCACTCTTCTTTTGGAAAGCTCTGACTTGGTGTAACAGTCAAATCTTAGGTGGATTCTGCCCCAGATTCCTACAGATCATGGCCCTAAAAAAGCAGGTGCTCTGTCTCTCTCATCCTAGCATAGTGACTAGATTATTATGGGAACTCTGGGTACATTAATTGAATGTTAATTAAATGAGCAAAAGACTCCCAAGTTCCGGTTAATAATATGCTTGTCTGAATGCAGTGTGAATGCAAATCTGACTCCTTGAGGGGCCAGAAGCCAACAGTCACCTGCCAACTGACCCCAGTCTGTCAGCACCAACAAGTTTCACCAAACAAAGGCTCTGTGTCTGATAGAACCTCACCTTCTTCTTCCTAGACTGGCCTCTCTCATCCCAGTTCTTTCCTGGAATATGCAAAACAATAAGGGCTTTCCAAAATGAAAAGGCATTTTACATGTTTATTAAGAATCACAGAAATTGCCAGGCGTTGGTGGCGCACGCCTTTAATCCCAGCACTCGGGAAGCAGAGACAGGCGGATCTCTGTGAGTTCGAACCTTCCTGGTCTACAGAACGAGTTCCAGGATGGGCTCCAAAACAGTACAAAGAAACCCTGTCTCGAAAAAAAAAGAATCACAGAAATTATACAAATAATTTAATGTTTTCCCTGTCTACTTTTATTTTCAAAATTAAATTTTCTTCTTTCTGCTAGCTCCTCTGGGACCACACCAATCCCCAGCTATCTCTCTACTGCCTTCCTGCCTGCAGGCCTCTGGGCCTCCCTCACTCTGGCTCTAAGCCTAAGCACCATGGCATACTCAGGCCTCGGCTGCCGCTCTCTGGTCACCTTCCAAATCCTCTGGCCTCATCTCCTCCCTCACTTTAGCTCTCTCCTCTGCTTCCCTCCCTTTCTGGAATGTGATGAGTATATACATACACAACATCAAAAAAAAAAACCACTTATTTTTCTTCTGCAAAAATGCATATAGGGGCTCTGATTCCACAAATCACGCTAAGGCCTTGGGTCATAAGACTTCTCTGTTAATAATTCTGAAATTGACCACTGAGAAGAAATTGAGCTATTGTGTAATACTTCATAGGTTAGCTCATTTGCTGTTTGGAGAGTCTTACTACACAAGATGAGAAAACAAAGATGGGCAAATTTAATGCAATTTCCTTCAGTGTTTCGGCTAGCTCAGGTTTGCAACACCACAGTGACAGTTTCATCTCTCCCGAGGTACAGTTTCAGCATTACAAAAAAGAATTTTAAGGGAATGATAAATCATGCTCCTCCTTTGGCTCATTAGCATATCTATCCTGACAATACCCCAGAAAGTCCTTCTTGATTGACACACTGATAATTTCCAAGGGATTCTAGCAAAAGTATTTAGAAAAAAAAATCCCAAACACAGGGACAAGAAACACCCAGTTAAATGAAGGGCTTTCTTCAGGAAACCAGCAAGAGTAGCAGCCTCTTTCCGACGGAATGTCTCTGCAAGCCTTCTCGCCGAGGCCATCTTATTAATTCCAAAAAGAATGGACAGCCTCCAAGACAAATAATTGATCTTCTTTTCCCTCACAGAAAAATTCACATGGATGTCTTGTTTTAAAGATGCTGGGATTCTCCCTGGCCAGCTCTCTGCTTCCCTGGCTTCTGCAATGTGACAGCTGGAACAGAGGTGTCTGGGAGAGACACCTGACATCTCAAACCTTGTCTGTGGAGATCTGATCTGAGCCAGTGAGGCTGGAGCCCAGGTCCATCTGGATGTCCAGCCCTAGCTCCCACTCTCATGGATTTCTGACTCCTGTGATAAATTCCCCAGTTTTCACACTTAAAGGGCTCAGTTTGCTCTAGCCGGGGAGTTTTCACCTTCAGACTCATTCTTAATATTTAAGCTGTCACAATATGGCGAAAGGGAAACATTTCCTCTCCTCTAAATAAAGGACAGCTGTACACTATTTTACCAGACACCCTACAATGATGCAGTATTTTCAACAGGCCTTTCTCCAAGACCTGAAAAGCACCGTAAGATTTTAAAGCCCAACTGAGGGTCCACCTGGACATTTCTACACATAAGCATTTTACAGACAACACAAAACAGCATATCCAAAGATTTCACTTGTGCATCTAGTCACAAAAAAAAATGCTATAAAAAAATTACGGCTCCTCTTCAGTTGTATGCTGTGAATGTAAATTATGACGCCAATACAACACTAGATATATCCTGTAAGATCTCTCTCTCTCTCTCTCTCTCTCTCTCACACACACACACACACACACACACACACACACAAACCCTTCGATTTCATTCTCAAAACTGAGTCAAAGCTCAGTGCAAAAAGCCATGAAAATAGAACTCAGTTCCTTCAACCGATCATTCGTCCGAGCGCTTAGATTTCAGAGCACGTCCACAGCACTTCACCCATTTGCATTTTGTTGCCGTTTCGAATTAAAGGTAAAGAATTTTCCACGCAGAATTCTCTCTAAAGATCTAATCCTGAAACCCGCGTCCCCCCAACCGGGGGGTGATGACAGTGTGGAAACGTGGCGAAACGTACGTGAGCCATAGCCCGGCGCCTCCAGGACCCGCCAAGCCCCGCGGCAGGGATCGTTTTAACGACTCGCCCGTGGGGAGCCCACGCTGACCTTTGGTGTTAATCGAAGGTGGAAGGGTGTGCATTCGGCCCCGGCTGGATCCCAGAACCTCCTGCCTTCCAGCCTCTCTGCAGCTCTCCGACTGTGAATCAGTCATTCATCTGCAGAGCAATGACTCAGTATAAACTTTTAAATAATGGCTCAAAAACCCACCTCCACCCGTCAGGGCAAGCACGCTCGTCTATGCGGGCACCCTGACTCGGCCGTTCCGTAACCGCGCCAAAGCCCCGGGGCCTCTGAGATGCAGACGGCTCAGCACCCCTCGGGGCGGGCACCTAGGGCGCGAGGCCTGGCTGCCCCGTCTGCCCGAAGCGCCGGCGCCTGGGGCCCGCAGCCGGCCCCACACACAAAGTTTCCAAAGTTGGGGCGGCGGGCGGGCCGCACCGCAGACGGTGAGGCGGCCGGGCCTGGCCGCGCAGGACCCGCCGGGCCCCCGGGGCCGCCGCCGGGATGGAACCGCCCGCCGCCCCCGCCGTCCCGGCCCGGCCCGCCGACCTTACCCCGCGGCCCGCCCGCTCGGCCGGCTCAGGGGCGCCGCGCGCATCCTCCGCCGCCGTCTGCAGCGTCCAGCTCCCCGGGCAGCCCCATGTCGGGGGGGCGGGGAAGGGCCGGCGGCCGCCGCCGCCGCCGCCGCCGCCGCCGGCTGGAAAGTCCCTGCTGGGCTGCAACCCGGCTCGCGCACGCGGCGGCCGCCGGCCGCGCCGCCTCACGCACCCTCGCGCTGGCACTTCCTCTCGCGCGCTGGAAATCCCCGCGGGCCGCCGGCGCGCGCCCCGGCGCGCCCGCCCCCGCCGCCCGCGCGCGCCTCTCCCTCTCCTCCCCCCGCCCCCGCCCCCGCCCCCGCCCCCGCCCCTCGCACGGCTGGCGCGCGCCCGCGCCCGTTGCTAGGGACCCTCGGCCCCGCGCTCGCCGCCGGCCTTAGCAACGGCGGCGCGCGCCCCAGGCCCTCCTGGGCCTCGGGCCCCCTTCGCGCGCGCGCGCGCGCGCGCCTGCGCCCTCGCGCCCCGCCCGCGTCCCGGTCTTTCCGGGTCAAAAAGCCAGCCGGGCGAGCGGAGTCGGGCGAAGAAGGTGCCTCGCGTCGCCCCCTCGACGGGCGGGCGGGCGGCCCTGACGCTCCGGCCCCCTCCTGCACTCCCGTCCTCACACCTGTAGAGGACACGCGATCGCGGGCACCCGCCCACACACGTGCGGGGCTCGTCCCGAGTGTCTCCTGCTCGAGAGCACACGGGCAGAGCTCGCGGGCGCCACAGCCCACAGACGGCCCTCGCGGGTGCACACAGACGCGCCGCCTCGGCCTCCCCGCGTGCCCCCCCGCGCTCTGGCCCCGTCTGAGCCAGCTCCCGGGGTTAGCAGAGCTCCTCCCTGGCCCAGTGTGGACACGGTGGCCAGTTTGCCCTGGGCTCCTCTCTCTGCCCTCTGCCAGGACGCCCATTTCTTCAGCGGCTGCACCCTGCCGTCTGGCGGTCCCCGGGGGCTCACGGGGCTCCTCCGGATGGCCCCTGGTGCCACAGCAAGACGGGAGCAAATGAGGGCCTGCCCTTAGGGAGCTTGGGCCACCGAGGAAGGAGGCCGAGGTCGTTTCCGAACCAGCTGGAAACGCACGCTCGCCTCCCTCCTCAAGAAAGCCCGGAGGGTCCCCAGGCCGAGGCGGGGGCCAGCGCGACCCGCCTGTCAGTGCCCCCTCCACGTGCTCTGCAGGCAACAGAGGCAGCGAGTCCAGCCGCGTCTGCCCAGCTTGGCTCGTGGAATGTTCTAGAAGCCCAGACAGTCTGGCCAGGACATCCCTGGATGCGTTAGCCAACAGGTGCCCGTCCCAGAGCCCAGACGGCAGCCTCGCTAGCCACACTCAGCCAGGCCAGGGGCGCCCCCACCTGGGCCACGAGCCCCGGTTCTGAGTTCCCACAGTTTAGGACGAGGGCCAGCGACAGTGCTAGGGCGACCGTGCCGCCTCTGCTGCGGACTCCGGGCCGCCCTCTCGCCCTCGTGGGTGTCTTCAGTGGCCCAGAGGGCTCAGGGGGCCCCGGTCTCGCACGCCTGTGCTCCGAGGCCTCGCCCCGCGTCCCCGGCCCCGTCCAGGGCGCCCTGAGGACCTGGTGCCTGTGCCCTCCTCGCCCTCCACTGCCCCGCACAAGGGAGCTGCCCAAATCCAGAAAGGCTCTCTTCTCTAGGCTGCACCGTTGGATTCGCTTCAAAACGCCACAAGGCGGACGGCACAAAGGCCTGTGCGTGGGCTTCCCCACGCCGCGTGCCTCCTTCCATTCGCTGCCAAAGCGCTGCTAAGCCTCGTCCAGGAGGGTTGAGTCCACCAGCGTGGAGCCCTGTGCGGGGAGCCTCTCTCTCTCTCTCCTCTCTCTTTCCTCTCTCTCTCTATCTCTATACCTCTCTCTCTATCTGTATACCTCTCTCTCCTCTCTCTCTCCTCTCTCTCTCTCCTCTCTTTCCTCTCTCTCTATCTGTATACCTCTCTCTCCTCTCTCTCTCTCTCTGTCTCCCTCTCTCTCTCTCTCTCTCTCTCTCTCTCTCTCTCTCTCTCTCTCTCCTCTCTCTTCCTCTCTCTATCTGTATACCTCTCCTCTCTCTCTCCTCTCTCTCCTCTCTCTCTCTCTCTATCTGTATACCTCTCTCTCTCTCTCTCTCTCTCTCTCTCTCCTCTCTCTCTCTCTCTCTATCTGTATACCTCTCTCTCTCTCTCTCTCTGTCTCCCTCTCTGTCTCTCTCTCTCTCTCTCTCTCTCTCTCTCTCTCTCTCTCTCTCTCTCTCTCTCCCTCTCTCTCCTCTCTCTTTCTCTCTCTCTCTCTCTCCTCTCTCTCCACCCCAAGGCCTTCTCCCACCCAGCAGACCCATAACCCCTGCTTTGGGGAACCAGAGCGGACAGCATAAAGAAGTTTGCCCCAGACAGGGCCACGGTTTGGGGGGCGGGTGTTCTGCTCGCCGCAGTGCCGGTTGCTGGGCAGACGTGATGAGCAGTTCCGAGAACCAATCAGAGCGCTCTCCTCTGGGCGTTGCAAAAGCAAGGCTAGCTTGTTCCCTATGGCAACGCTGAACAACACGCTCACACTGTTTCTGGACAAAGACCTTTCTCTCGGGAATTTGTGCGGCCGGACATGTCCAGTTTGCCGCATTTTAGGGAGCCGTGCACGCAGATCTCGAGATGACTCACCGAAGTGCAATCGCCTGGAAAGCCGCTCCCATCTGCTGTCCTAAGAGGAAAGGCATTCACTGATCGGTGTCAGGGGCTTCAGGCCTGGAAACAGGTGTCATCAGGCCTCTCCCAGCGCCTCAAATGACAGCTCCTGGAGCAGAAGCCACCTGCCCCTGTGGCTCTGATGTGGGCTGAAGTGAGCTGACCATTCGCCCACTGAAACACGTTAAATACTGCCAAAGGAGGGACACTGGGCAAAATTATAGTTATAAGGGCTCCCAGCAAGTAGCTCCCAAACCTGTTAAACACAGGACACGTACATACCCACATACCCATCAGTTCTTAACCGCAACGGGTAACGTGCTCTGACATCCCTGTTCTGTATGGTTTTGTAAATGATTTTGATTACTCATGTATTCTGAGAGCGCACGGACACGTGTGCGTGCGTGTGTGTGTGTGTGTGCGCGCGCAACGCAAAATGTAAAGGTCAAAGGACGCTCACCTATTAACCCAGCGTTCGGGAGGCAGAGGCAGGTGGATCTCTGTGAATTTGAGACCAGCCTGGTCTGCTGAGCGAGTTCCAGGACAGCCTCCAAAGCCACAGAAAAACCCTGTCTTGAAAAAACAAAACAAAGGTCAGAGGACATTCTGCAAAGGCAGATCTCTCCTTCCATCGTGTGGTCCCTGGGATCAAACACAGTTTGTTCAGCTTGACAGCAAGCACCCTTACCTACTGAGCCATCTTGCTGACCCCTATCTATTAATTCTAACCTAGGGTTCTGCTGTGTAGTCCAAGCTAGCTTCAGACTTGAAATCCTCCTCCCTCAGCTTCCCAGGTGCTAGGATTTCAGGCAAATGCCACTGCGCCTGCCTGAGCAAGCATGGGCCTCCCTAGAGCTCGCTCTCCCCTCCCCCCTTGAGTAGGGTCTCCAGCAACCTGCTCTGGCTTCAGACTCACTGTGTAGCTGAGGATGACCTCGAACTCCCAACCCTTCTGTGTCTGCCTCTCAAGTCCTGAAATCACAGACATGCGCCGCCATACCCAGCTTCCATTACTTATTTTTGCTATGCGTCTTTACCTATCTTATTTGAAGTGGGGCGCATGTGTCGAGGCACACGTGGAGGGGGAATTAGGACGATTTGCAAGTCAGCTCCATCCTACCACCATGTAAGTCCTGCTGTCCACACTCAGGTCGAAAGGCTTGGGGCAAGTGCCTTGGCCCACGAGCCCCCCCCCAGTTTATTTTTTAAATGCTGATCATGACCCTTTAAACTGGAGATTCATGACCACAAGTCCAAAATACCACTTTAGACTTAAAGGTGCCAATGGTAATGGGAGGGGTCACAGCTTTGAGGAGACAGAGCGCCCACCCCTGCACAGGCCTGCCCTTCCTTCAGTGGACCCCTTCACAGAAGTCACTGCAGGTCACACTCCCCTGGTTAGGACCGTTGGTGACTCAGTGGTAGGAGTTGATAAAGGAGACACAGAGCGGGCCCTGAGGGCAAAAAAAAAGCACATTCCTGGGTTTACAATGGGCAGATGGGAGAGGCTGGAAATGGGCTGCATAAGTAGTTTTTTTTCCTTTTTTTCTCATTTCTGTGGGCCAATCAGGAAACAGACGTGTTCCCATTTTAAGGAGTCCATCCCAGGATTACACATACCACCTGTACCTTCTCAAACACTTGCCTGAAACAGTCCAAGAGAACGAGAGTCCTGGCGTGGCCTGTTTCCAGCTGGTAGCTTTCACTCAGCCCTGTACCTGCCTGTCTTCAACGCTCTCTGAAGACAGATGCCATCACCACCCTCTCAAGAAAAAGAGGATCTTCAGTGGATGTCGCGGGAAGCAGGGGCAGGGTGTGCAAGCCCCACGTTGCAAACCCCAGGAGACACCAGCAACACCTGTTTGATACCTTCCTTCAGGTCCCTGAAACCCATTCCTCTGTCACAGCTGGTCCTGTCCCCAGCCCACAGGCTCATGCTGGCTCCTGACTTTCCCCAAACCTTAGCAAAGGCTGAAACAGTCCCGTGGAAGGCGCCGGTCCTGCCACACAGCAGCAGCCAAGGAAGGGAGGAGGGAGGAGGGAGGAGGGAGGAGCTGCCGCATCCAGAGCCCCCCTCCAGGGGGGGGAGGAAAAGAAAGGTCTAGAAATTGCAAGAATCATTGTAATCCTAGGCATCGCAATACTCCATCTCTCTGCAAACACGGGAACATGGTGGTGTGATTCCTCGGTACCCCATCATCTCCCTGCAAACACGGGAACATGGAATCTTCTTGAGTCACAAGAAGTTAGTTCTGGCAAGTGGGAACTGGGGATGGGCACACAGGTGTGGACCAGCATTCAAGCATCTCGCACTCATCCCAACACTGGAAACCCTTAGACCCTTCCTTTAAGTCAGAGGAAGGAAATGAGGCTGTCCTTTGTCTGAGAGATAATCTGCTGGGCTTCTAAACTCATAGGGATGCTCGGTGGCAGGCCTCACCCGCCTATCTTGTGAGGTGTTCTCTGTTTTGCTTTGTTTTTG